ACGAGAGCGAAACTCCGTCTCAAAAAAAAAAAAAAAGCTGAATCAGTATTCTAATTCTGGGCATGTATTGGAATCAGCTAGCAACTCCATATCAGTTTGGTTTTCAACAGCTACCCAGTTCATGGAAAACCTTCCAATTTAGTTTACTTGGGGTAATTTTGCTTTACTGTTATGGAATATTTTGCTGTTGTACTCTTTGTGTAGGAATACAGGATAAGCTTAATCAATATTTTCTCAACTTAAATACATACTAATCTTCCAAATATCACCTTTTGTTGGTACTGGGAGTTACAAATGGTCCTGAGCATACTGATGCTTTCTAACTGAGCTCCTCTCTACCTGGATTGCAAGAGACCCTAATAGGCAAGAATATCATCACCCCTACTCAGCACGAAGAAGTTACAGGAGATGGCTCTCTGTCCCTTAAAAACCCTTGGAATAACAGTTCTCTTATACAAGGGAGGGGGTACATGTCAAAGGTGTTAGAATCAGAGAAACTCCATCTTGAATAGGAGCTGAGATAAATTAGGGTGAAATCTACTAGGCTACATTCCCAGATGGTTAGGCATTCTAAGTCACAGAATGAGATAGGTCAGTTCAAGATATAGGTCATAAAGACCCTGCTGATACAACAGGTTGCAGTAATGTAGCTAGTAAAAACCCACCAAAACCAAGATGGTGATGAGAGTGGCCTCTGGTTGTCCTCACTGCTACACTCCCACCAGCACCATGACAGTTTACAAATGCCATGTCAATGTCACGAAGTTACTCTATATGGTCTAAAAAGGGGAGACGTGAATAATCCACCCCTTGTTTAGCATTTAACAAGAAATAACCATGAATATGGACAACCAGCAGCTCTAGAGGCTGCTCTGCCTATGAAGTAACCATTATTTTATTCCTTTCTTAATAAATTTGCTTTCACTTTACTCTATGGACTCACCCTGAATTCTTTCTTATACAAGATCTAAGAACCTCTCTTGGGGTCTGGATTGGAACCCCTTTCTGGTAACAGAATGATGTATTTTCTTTTGGATATATATCCAGTAATGGGATTCCTGAATCAAATGGTAGTTCTAAGTTCTTTGAGAAACCTCCAAACTGAGGAAGCTACTGCTCACCAGTTTCAGGTGTTTTTTTTATCTACTGGGAGTCTGCCTTTCCAAGGTGCTGGCTACAACCAATTATGATTTTAGAAATTAGCAACTGTCTGACCATCATATGATGATTGCCTGATATTCCTGGTGGTGGGACTCCCTCTCCTGCCCTGTTCATGTATGACTAGCTATCTAATATTACAGCCCACTTTCAAAACTGTAAATCTCACTAGTGACTTATCAGCCACTGCATTCAAAAGTCAAGTTCCTTCTCAAAGTACAAAGCAATCCCTGGAAACCCTAAAGCCAGACACTACAAAATCAGTGCAAAAGAGAGCAGAACTATAGATCTGAGAGAAGCCTGCTTATGATTTTTTTTTTCTAATGCCCTCACTTTAACAGAATTGCCCATGACTCTTGAGACTGATATATATCCAGTAATGGGATTCCTGAATCAAATGGTATTTCTAAGTTATTTGAGAAACCTCCAAACCTTCAGTTCCTCCACAGGAACTGAACTAATTTATGTTCCCACCGACAGTTCACGAGCATTCTCTTTTTGCCACATCCTGGCCAATAACTGGTGTTTCTTACTTTTCAATAATAGCTATTCTGACTGGTGTGACATGGTATCTCATTGTGGTTCTGATTTTCATTTCTCTGATGAGTAGTGATGTGGAGCATTTTTTCATATATTTGTTGGCCACTTGTACGCCATCTTCTGAGAAGTGTCTGTTCATGTCTCTTGCCCACTTTTTAATAGACTTGTTTTTGCTTGTTTAATTATTTGTTTCATATATATTATAGATACTAAATCTGTAGAATGCATGGTTTGCAAATAGTTTCTCCCATTCTGTAGGTGTCTGTTTACCCTGTTGATATTTTCTTTTGATATGCAAAAGCTTTTTAGTTTAATTAGATCACACCTGTCAATTTTTGTTTTTGTTGCAATTGCTTTTGAGGACTCAGTCATAAATTCTTTCCCAAGGCCAATGTACAGAATGGTATTCCTTAGGTTTTCTTCTAGGAGTCTTATAGTTTGAGAGTCTTACATTTAAATCTTTAATTCATCTTCAGTTAATTTTTGTACACCGTGAAATGTAGTGGTCCAGTTGCATTCTTCTGCATATAGCTTGCCAGATATTCAAGTGTAGAAAGTTGTATTTTGGAGACTGATTTAGTTTGATAGTTGGTTGTTTCAACTTAGCTTATTTCTTAATTGGATCACTGGCTTTAGGATAGAGCCATTTAATGAACAATGCCAAAGAAAGCATTTGCAGTTTTCAGAGCTTAATATCCAAATATATGAAAAGCAGACACAACTGGAAGTCAAAGTATCTAGATCTTTAAAAATTAAGGATCTCACATTTATATTGAATTCTGGGCCCCCAAAATAGGGAAATGTCATGGCACTTGCCCATGAAACACTTCTACAGTGCTTCACACTACAATGGTATTCCCCCCCCACAAGGCTTGTGAAAAATCCAATACCAGTCAATCCACTCTGTAATTAGCTCATCCCCTACAAAAGTCTTATCTCTTCTTGGAAACTCTTTCCATGGCCTGCAAATGCTCAAACCATTTTTCTTATCTAAAAGTGGAAACAAATAGCTATCTGCAGTAATAACCACCCATTGCAACCACAGTCGGCCTGTCGGCTGCGGCAAAGTCATATGGGTCTGCAACCTCAATTCTTGCCTCCCCAGAAGAAAGAATGATGCAGAAGGAGAGACTGACACAAGTTTTAGAGCAGGAGAGAAAGTTTATTAATAAGCCTTAAAGCAAGAAAGAAACAAGAGGGCCATGCAGGTGACTTGAAAGATCAAGTGTGCTGTTTGATCTTTTGACTTAGGGTTTTATTTGTTGGCATACTCTAGGGTCCTGCATTCCCTTCTACCCTGATTCTTCCCTTGGGGTGGCTGTCCACATGCACAGTGGCCTGCCAGCACTTGGGAGGAGAGCGTGCACAGTGTGTTTACTAGAGTTGTATGCATGCTCACCTGAGGTGTCTTTCCTTACCACTCAAATGTCCCTGGAATGTTATGTACCAGTTAAACTCTGCCATTTTGCCTCTTAATGCACATGCTTCATCCCACTGTCCCAACTACTGAGATTTTATCAGGAAGCTACTGCTCACCAGTTTCTGGTGTTTTTTTTATCTATTGGAAGCCTGCCTTTCCAAGGTGTTGGCTATGACCAATTATGATTTGAGATTAGCAACTGTCTGACCATCACCTGATGATCACCTGACATTCCTAGTAGTGGAAATCCCTCTCCTACCCTTCTCATGTATGACTAGCTACCTCATATAACAGGCCACTTTCAAAACTGTAAATCTCACGAGTGATTTGTCAACCACTGCATTCAAAGATCAAGTTCCTTCTCAAAGTACAAAGCAATCCCTGGAAACCCAAAAGCCAGACATCAGGAAATCAGTGCAAAAGAGAGCAGAGCTATAGTTCTAAGAGAAGCCTGCTTATGATTTTTTTTTCTAATGCCCTCACTTTAACAGAATTGCCCATGACTCTTGAGACTCAATGAAGAAGACAGAAGACCCCCAAAAAGGGGGTGTGAATGATGCTTTTTTGGTGTGTTCCTCAAGGCATCTTAGGGTTGCTAGAAATTTCCTATGTAGTACTGAAGATGGCAAGCAAAAGAGAAGCCAAGTGGAAAGAAATGGAAGATCAAGTTTTAGAGGAACCAATTAGGGGAGATTTTAAGCTTTCTCCAAGGCTAGTAAAGTTTCACATTTTTCTAAGCAAAATGCCAACAAAGGGCACAGAAGTCACTGTACTTTAAAAAAGTATTCATTGTTGGCCGGGCGCGGTGGCTCAAGCCTGTAATCCCAGCACTTTGGGAGGCCGAGGCGGGTGGATCACGAGGTCGGCAGATCGAGACCATCCTGGTCAACATGGTGAAACCCCGTCTCTACTAAAAATACAAAAAATTATCTGGACATGGTTGGTGGTGCGTGCCTGTAATCCCAGCTACTCAGGAGGCTGAGGCAGGAGAATTGCTTGAACCCAGGAGGCGGAGGTTGCGGTGAGCCGAGATCGCGCCATTGCACTCCAGCCTGGGTAACAAGAGCGAAACTCCGCCTCAAAAATAAAAAAAAAGTGTTCATTGTCCTTTTAAAAAGTTGATTTCCCATAATGTAGACCTTTTGAAAAGGCCAGAAATGTGTTTTGGGTCAAAGTTTGCTGCTTATGAGTGTCACTACACAAAGTGTCACCCAAGTGTCATGAGTCTCTCTCTTATGTGTCTCAGACCACCTCTAACTGCCAGGTGTTAGTAGGATATTCAAGGTATAGAAGTGACCAGTTCCCTAATTTATACCCTTTACATTAAGCAAGAGTCTCTAAAATGTTCTCCTGCTGAGGAATACCTTATGAAGCCACTTCATATCCTGGGCAATGTCCTGACATTTTTGCAAAGCCTTTAGTCACCTGGATTACCCAAATGGGTCAGAGGGAACAACTGCCTTTTCTCTTACCAGCAACAGAACCCAGCCTCATGCACCTTTTGGTCTGGAACTAGCAGAAATTTATCAAAAATAAAAATATAAGCCTGAATTACAAACCATATAAAGCAGCTGCAATTTCAAAAGCATGCTTTGATAAAAAGAAGTGAAATCATTGGTGCCAAACTGCCTATACTATAACCCAAATCTTTTATAAGTCAGAGACAGAGAAAGTAAAAGTCCTTGTCTGATTGTGACCCCAAACCTCTTGTCCTGAGGCAGAGAAGGCAGTTATCTGCAGAGATCTTTACCTGAATTTCCTGTCCAAAGACAGAGACTGAAGCCCTCACTCTTAAAGGAAAGAGATGGTTTGAAAACTAGCCTAAATAAAATCTAGACTTCAACCAAACATAAAAAGAAGGTCCAGATTCAGGAGCACTCACCTTTTTGTTCCCAGTCAAACCTCTGGAATTAGTGGAACATGTTAGTTTCATGCTGATACCGAGTGCTGAGTCTGAGAGGGAAGGGTAATGAGCAGGAGGTCACTGTGAGTCCTGTCAATTTTCTCCAGATAATGTTGACCAAAGGAAAATGCTGAGGCAAAATTAAATAAGTTGAGAGTTTCCTCAAGCCAAGTTCAAGACCTGCAACACAGGAGGATATATTCAAGCTGTCCTTAATATATGCTCTTATTTTATAGCAGTTACAAGTGGGTCTTTGAAGGAAGAAAAAAAAAGAGGCAGTTTCTAAGTTGTTTACCAGGAATTTGAAACTGGCACAATTTTCCCACAAAATTAATATTTATGTTGTTTTTTAAAAGTACATAGAAATTGACCCACCCTTGTCTTAAAACTTGGAACTTACATTTGTCCCATATGAGTTTCTTTTTCAGGAAACCAAACCTCAGGCAAGGAACTGAAGTTCATCAGATTATCACATCCAAACAATGAGACACCGACACTTCATCCATCAGGATTATTTCCTTACCCCTCCTAATTCCTGTTTGCCTGCCTTCTACACTATATAAACCCCCCCATTTTAATCAGTCAGGAAGATGGATTTGGGACTTTCTCTCTCATTCTCTGCAGCTATAGCACACCATTAAAGCCTTCTCTGGCAATACTCACATCAGTGGTTGCCATTCTGTGCAGTGAGCGGCAGGTTTGCCCTAGACCAAACCCCTGGCATTTTGGTAACAAATATAAATTAAAGTAACATAAGCTATTAACTGGCTTTACATTGTCCTTTGTATCAAAAATCTTAGAAAGATCATGAAGATAATGGGTGAGTTAGCTAGTCAGGAACCTACAGGGAAGAAAAAAAAGAACAAAATGCCTTTAAACAATTGCCCCTGGGCATAGGTGCTGGGGGCATAGCAGATGTCTTATACTCTTGTCTCATTACGCCTGATTAATTCTGCATATCTCACATAGTTCAGACTGCTCTGAGCTGTTTTCTTTTCTCTATCACATAGCTACCAAATGCCAGAGCCTTACTTTGAATATGAACAATATAATTCTAGAACCTCTGTTCTTAACCACTTCCTTGTGTTTCATGGGGTAGAGAAAAGGCAGATTAAGTCCTTAAGTGCTACAGCTTAAATTCAATTTAATTTTAGGCTTCCAGCTTTCAATTCAGTTTTTCATATTCACATGTGCTGCAAATTTCTTCCTTCCACCCTATCCAACTCTGGCTAAAAAAAAAAACTCAAGTGTCCATTAGCCCTGATGTTGGCATCCCTCCCAGCATATAAGACTGTGATAGCAGTCACCTACTCTAAATTCAATCTTATATGTTCCCTCCAGGGCCCAGGAATATGCTGCTAGACAATTATCAGAATAATAAATTATTAGAGCAAAGGGTCAGTGGTTATCCCATGTAGAACTAGCATGTCAACTCAGAATGGCAGACAAAAGCAGCACTCCATAAATAAGGTGGAAGAAATGGACCCTAAACTTTAGCTCCCCCAAGACAGAGATTCTAATAACTAGAGGATATACAAAGTGAAGTATTTGGGTCGAGTATAAAAATTAACACCAAGACAAAAGTATGCCAAACTGCAGGGTCTTTATTGCCGGTGACCAGGGAGGACTCACGTCTCTCCAGCCCGAGGCCCCGAACTCAGGGGGAGCAGGGTATTTATGCTGAAAAACCACATCCTGGTTTTAGGATCGAGGGGATGCAGGGCAAGCAACTTTACAGAAGCTTATTTTGGCAACCAATGATAAGCAAAGGCCAGCAACTCTGACAGTTACTGATAAGAAAAAGGCAAGCAGCTTTACATGATGGGCATTCTTTAGAGCGATCTAGCAGTTTTATTTACAGAAGCCAAGGTCAGCAGTTATTGCGAGGAGAATGGGGCAGCCATTACAACTTATTTTTGGAAAAACAGCTTTGTCTTATAAAATGGCATTGCTCAGGTTCTAACTCTAGGCCCGCTATAGCACACAAGGCAGGCCCAGATGACTGCTGAGCCATTGAAGAAAAGGAGGGGAGACTAAAACAGGTCTCTACAACATTGTTCAGAATACGCAAGACAAGAAATTAAGCATTACCTAAGCCATTAAGAGTGAGAATAAGGATAGAAAGCCCAGGGTCCCAAAGGTGCCACTGCCACTGTATCCCTGAAACCAAGCCATGAGCAAGGAAGGTGGGATAAAATGCTCACTCCTCACTTCCGTTTAAATAAAGATAGCATTGATACATCAGTTAGGGATCTGGCAAGAGACACATGGCACATTCAAATGGAGTAATGAGGAGAACTCAACAAGGGAACCACTGGCCATGGAGTAGGTAGCCTTCCTAGCTCCACTAGTATTTCCCTGGATGGGTCTTCTGCGAGCAGCTTCCCAGGGCTCCATCATTCCAGGCTTGCAACACTTTGCTAGGCAGCATAGCACAAGGAAAAAAGCACAGGATTGAGGGGAGAGTGGTAGATTCTAGACCCAGTCAAAAGCTGTGTGATTCTGGGCAGCTCTCAAGGACCAATTATCTTCCTACTTAACACATCCTGAACAGGAAGCCTTTAAGGGCCACTGTTTCAATTAATCTTCTAGACAGCCTGCCCTTCTCCATATCACTGTCCTGCCTGAGCTCAGGTCCCCCCAGAAGTCCTGTGTGTTGTTTCTGTATCTCTGCCTGGCACTCCCATCCACCTTCCACACTGCCACCTGAATGATTTATCAAAAATATAAAACTGACCATGATGCTTCAGAAATTGACCAGTCACACCCAATTGTTCACAAAACCCAGGCTCCTTGATGGGCATGTGAGGCCCATCATGACTTGGCCTGTACTTTCCTTCCCAGCTTTAGCTGTAGCCACTCCTCTCCTTGTAATTTATGCTTCAATGAATTAAATCACTGGTGACCTCCAGAATGTATGTTGCTGTTTTTTATAGTTTTGCTCCTGTATATTCCATTTTCTCCCCTAAAATAGTTTTTATCTCTAACACCCAGGACCCATCCTGGGGCTGATAGGTAGTAGGGAAAGGGAAGGATATTAGCCCAGCCTCACTCTCACCAAGGGCTATGAATATAGCCCTTCAATTTATCTACAAATAAAGTTAACTGTAGAGTCACAAAGATGCAGACAGTAATGGGAAATGAAGACATATTCCATATAACTTTAAACTCAGTTCCATAATTAAATCAATCTATCTATAATGCATTATGAAGGAATTTTACAAAATAAATCCTATTATTTTGTAAATTACACAATTTTTATAACACTGATCAGATTTTTTTTTGCCTTAAAATTTATTTTTTACCATATCAGAAGACTAAAAAAAAAAAAGGTATTACCCTCTCTTTGCCTATAAGACCTGCTGCTGACCTGTTCCCTAATTTATCTCCATAAGCTACCCTCTCTCTGGCATTGTGTCTGTAACTACAAGATATTTCTCATGCCCTTGGCATATTACATTAAAATTTTTTGCTCTGACTCAAGATGGCGCTGTGAGAACAACCCAGGATTGGAGGTCTCGTTGAATCCGCAAAGAGGTGAGTCGGAGCTGCATTTCCAGACTGATCTTTGTTGCCCACAGAACGGGGAAACTCCCAAGTATAAAAAAGACATGGGACACCAGGCAGTAGGTCTGCCTGGCGAAGCCGGCAGCCAGGGCGGCGGCAGCCGGCCCTACCCAGCAATCCCCACAGGGCGCGCTTGTCCGGGTGCCCTGTTGAACCGGCAACCTGAGACTTGAGAGGGCTGGACTTGAGACTGAACGAGACTTGGATAGTAGGCCAGCCCAGGGGATTGCAGGGACAGAGCATTGGGGGTACCCAGTGGGACGAACAAAACCGCGATTTCAAACTATCCTGAGCAGACGGTCCGAGACGCTCTGTGGGGGAGGGGTGTCCACCACTACCGAAGCAACACGCCCCAACTGAGATACACGCCCACTGCTGACGCAGCCAGCCGTTGCCGAGGCAACCTGTCCCTACTGAGATACACGCCCACTGCTCACGCAGCCTGCCGTTGCTGAGGCAACATGCTACAACGAAGAGACTCCGCCACAGGGCGTGGCGGAGACCACAGCAGAGCCTGCAGGAACAAGGCGAATCACACAACAGCAGGGCGGAGCCTCGGCAGCCAAACAGTGGCTAGTCTGCCTCCTAGCTGGGCAGGACACCTCAACGGACATCGAAAAATGAAGCCCGAACCCCCCAACACAGAGCATTTGAGAAAAAAAGGGTCTTTTTAATGAGCTCTGTTGCAGCAGAATCAAACATAGCAGCCTAACAGCCCTGAATGAACAACAGAGCTCACAGCTCAGCAATTGAGCTCCTAAAAAGTACAGACTGTCTCCTCAAGCAGCTCCCTGACCCCTCTATATCCAAAAGACTGACACTTGGCAGGCATCATCCTGGGACCAAGATAGCAGAAAAAGAAACGGGTAGCATCCCTCACCGTGCCACAGCTGCTAGAGGTGCACCCCAGACAAGCAGGGCCTGGAGTGGACCTCAGCAGTCGTATAGCAAAGGGGTTAGGCTGGTAGAAGGAAAACCAAGTAACAGAAATACTTCATCATCAACAATCTGGGTGTCCACTCAGAGACCCAATCGAAAAGTCAGCAACTACGCAGACAACAAGCGGATAAACCCACAAAGATGGGAAGAAACCAGCGAAAAAAGGAGGAAAACACCCAAAACCAGAACACCTCGCCTCCTAGAAAGGACCAAAACTCCTCACCAGCAAGGGAACAAAGCTGGACGGAGAATGACTGTGACGAAATGACGGAATTAGACTTCAGAAGGTGGATAATGAGAAAGTTTTGTGAGCTAAAAGAACATGTATTAAATCAATGCAAAGAAACTAAGGAACTTAAAAAAAGATATGAGGAAATGATAACAAGAATGGATAACTTAGAGAGGAATATGAATGAATTAAAGGAGCTGAAAAACACAATACGAGAACTTCGCGAAGCATGCACAAGTTTCAATAGCCGAATTGACCAAGCAGAAGAAAGAATATCTTAAGTCGAAGACCAACTCAATGAAATAAAACGAGAAACCAAGATTAGAGAAAAAAACGCAAAAAGGAATGAACAAAGTCTCCAAGAAATGTGGGACTATGTGAAAAGACCTAACCTATGTTTGATAGGTGTACCAGAAGGGGACGAAGAGAATGAATCCAAGCTGGA